GTTCTTTTTTTAATATGAAATAATCAAATATGGGACATGTGTATAATAACAGAACCCCACACCCTCCCCGTGGCTTCGCTCGTGAAAGTACGGCAGCAGGATACACCGCATCACTCGTGAAAATAACTTCCATACGCAATGAAAGCCACGGGGAGGGTATCTGTCATAATACTTCATTATCACTGAAAACATTTTTCCCCTGAAATAAATTCCAGTGAATATGCCATTTCCCTTACTATATTGAGACACAGCGCAGTGAAAATTAGATTCACATGTAATGCTTGAAAACATGTCAGCAAAAATAAATTAAGTGAAATTCTACGTGACTTCTCACTTCATAATAGTTGGAAATGAACACATTACACCCGACCCTACCACTCCATATACAATGTAAACTACACCCCAAAACATCCTTTCACCCACAGTTACTACTGTGTTTCACCAGTGTATTCTATTTGACGTCAGGAGAAATTAAAATAAACAAATTAATTATAATTTCAGCCTCTAGTTTACCACTGATTAAATAAACTACCTCGTCTTTATGTCAACTTGCAGTTATTCGTTGCCTACATCAGTGACTTCAAAATATATGTTTCAATCCCAGGAATTTCACTCGCTGTTAATTGCATGGGAGTGGCAGTCTTTAATGAATTTCTATTGTCATGTCAATTTCTTGCGATTACTCGAACATTAAGCTGTAACCACATACCGCCTAGGTGCTGTAATTAAATCCTGGTGTAAGCACCATATGAACTATGAACAATGCATGTGAAGCCAGCTGTGGGGTATATTCAATCCTATAGATTTCTCATTGTTTGGTAACTATTTGCTGCAAATGCAACAAAAATCAATATAAAAAATATTACCCACACAGTATTCTACAGGTTACTTGTTTAACATAGTGCCTGACCCCAGCATAGATATATATATATATACAGCATAGATATACAGTATATCAACCTAATTTGTTTATATTGACTTCAATATTAACTTATTTGCATAATATTTCAAATCCTTTTTAGCTCGCTATATTTATGCGAGAATGACACATCGCAAATAGTGAAATTATACTGGTATCGTGGTGACCATGACCCCATGGATTATAAGAATCGAGTTTAGGCTCATTCTTAATAAATCTAGCTCAAAACTAAGAAACAAAATAAGTTCACAGTTTGTCAACAACCCCATCCTCCCAGAGTGCATTATGATCAACATAACATAAAATATATATGATTGACTCATTGGGTTGAGCATACAAGCGGAAAGCCTTCTGGCCCTAACCTGATCGCTGACCACAAATTTAACACTGCAAAGAAGAACAGCAAGTAGAACCAGACTGAAATCCAGAAGACGTACCTACACACCAATTAGAAGACCTTCAATTGAGGTCGTTTGTTCGGCATGTACGAATTGGTATGTAGAAATTGAAATGAAGACACTTAAGACAATATTAATACGCTGGAATGAATCTAATAATAATAATAATAATAATAATAATAAATGGTTTATTTCTTTAGTCTTAAACCACCTAAGGCTTGCTAATTGACCTTTCGAACTCCCGCCCCAAACTTATACATTCCCCATTTTAGAATGTATTGACCCAGAAAATATATGGTACTGTGTAAATAAATATGAAAGGTTTTGAGGGCATATTTCGTGCTACAAGATGGACACGTGGGAGCAGTGTGTCTTGCGACTCTATGCGTTTTGAGCTTACAAAATCTGTCCTATCTTCGAGGGCTGCATGACACAATTGCTGAAATAATCTTCTTATTTGCATGAACTAATATTTATGAGCAATAAAACTACTTTTTTCAGGCACCAATGTCAATGGTATATTGAGTAATGATTACATACGTAATATGTACATGCTTATAATATAATACACACATCAATCATACTCATATTGAGTATTGAAGTTCAATTCTGAGCAATTTAGGCTATCTATATTTATGTGTTTTGTTCACCATTCAAACTTAAATGAGACATGTTTCTGGTACATTTAATTCCATGTTCAACACATAAAGTAGTCTGATTGTGTTATAATGCACGTCGATTTTGACAACACAGATAGCATCCTGTTTACATATGCAGGTCTTGATTCCATTATAAAGTTCAAGGCAAAATCAGATTTTTACAAAAATCATAACATGTGTGGTATAACATTTTTAATCAGAATGAACAAAAATCTGATCTTAAATTATAGTGCAGGTGGATTTATTTCTCAATGCATGAAATATAAAAATGGATTTTTTCTGGATTTAGTATGTCCATGGAGATAAAAAGAGAAGGAGTCACAGCCAAAATAATCCTCCTAAACTTCTTTTGTTTTAGTCAAGTTTAATCCTATAATTCCCTTTGTCTTATCATCCTTTCACCCCAGGATCGTCGCCGACGCGTCATTTACTCTCAAGCGTTGCTGCGTACAGTACACACTCCAAGGTCTTGTTTTAGGGTGTCGCAGTAAATGTCAAAGGGCATAAAGCATGCGCAGATCTTTTATACGTAGAGGAATCGTGTTTGTGAGAACGGGAAAATTGGAATTTTTTAGTCCAAAATAAAGATCGTTTAATGTTCCTTGCAATGGTGCATGACATGGACCGCACCGCGTTGTACCAGTGACTGAATTTTGAGGTTCGAAATGACACTTTTTGAAGTTTATATCCCGTGTATATCCTACTTCCTATGACAGTGCGTCAATTTTCTTTATACACCATGTACAAGAAAATCGCTGCATTTTTTTGTTTTCGTGCAATCATTTCGTTCACAGCACATGCAAAAAATTCTTCGTCTGTAATATGCTCTTCGATTTCGTTTACGTCTTCTGAATTTAAGGATATAGCAGTTTCAGCATCGTAGTCAAACTCGTGGGCGTTATCGATCGTCGCCATATTTGTTTAAAAGAATTGTCACGAAAACCGCCGAGTGCTGCCGAAGACGTCCGTAGTATGCTAATACATGGTAATCCTCACTGCGCTAAGAGGAAACTGTCCTCCTTGATCCGTTCGGCAAATAAACTCCCTGATCTATGTACAAACAGCGGCGACCATCCTGGTACCTCTGATCTAAGCTTGGCTGTGACTCCTTCTCTTTTTACCTCCATGGTATGTCTCTCATGAAATAAAAGCATAACATGTTGTTGACGCATTGTGACTAAGCTTTTACAACCTAAGATTCACTGCGTGTTCACATTGCTGTGTTTTCAACCACATATATGCATTATGGCAGATTTCTTGCAAATCGGTTTCACATCTTATAAATAATTGTATTACTGGCCCTGCATTATTAGATCAGCAATCTGCATTACTGAGCCCAACAAACCGCATTAATATACCCAGGAATCTAGCAGTGCAATGTCGAACCCACTAATATCCACGATTTAGTCCTGCAGCCAGTTTCAACCATTCTTTTTAACATTACTCGGCCCACTTGCCCGCATCCACCGGTATACTTGCACCAGTAATTTGGTCTGCTGCTGGTGTGCAAAGAAAAGCTGCCACTTCTGCAATCTGAAATGAATTAAAATACAAACAAGGTTGAACAAATCTTACAATTAAACTAGTAAAAAAATTTTTTTTTTACTCAATGTGTGAATTATTAAAAAAACAACGCGATATTCTCGATGTTGATGTATTCATACATGTACATTAATTATGATAAAAATATGTCAGCAGTTGTAGTACAACGTGTAATAAATAACATACCTGCTCAACAGTTACAAACTGGCCGGATGGATTTCTTGTTTTCAAAAAAATTGCCTGCGAAAGAGAGAGCAGTTGGCAATATAAATATGTGCATATAATAATAACCCATGTACAGCTGTACACTGTAATTTGAAAAAAATAAACATGACACATTCTAGTTTGAAATAAATCATGTACAGTTCATACAAACTGGTTCCTGTCAGCTATATTGATCTGCTTCAATATAGAATATATTGTATTGTACAGTAGTTGTAGCAGCACACTCATGGTCAAATCCTACCTTACGCTAAACACCAAAACTTACGACCCCCTAACCTGGGTGAGTGTGTCACATACTCAATAGGAATCCCAATTTCACTGGCCAAGATTCATTCACTATAGCTGAATTTGCTTTGTTCCACCGGGCCTTATTTGCGCCAAAAAGTCACATTGAATTGTCATTTGCTAGGGAAGATCGCGTCACATAGTCCCAAAAATGCGAAGGTATTAGGACGAGCATTAGCACATTCATTGGGAGAGACAACATTGACATTCACTTCCCGGAACTGTCGCCTTATCTGTATATGTAATGCAACAACACAAGCATTTTAATCACATTTTAGTGATTATTTTTGAAAATCGCAAACCTAGTGATTACAAAATCATGGGGTGGCATACAATTCGCGTCATTCGTTGTGAGAAAAAAAGTTTCTGTCAAAACAATTGCGGTAATTCATGGATTTGAAAGTCAAATAGATGACTGGGCGGGCACCATAGAAGTTTCAGAGCAGGAAAAATACACTTCATCTTTTATCATGACAACTGTTTGAAAGGCTTTCACTACTTAATTTAGCTTTCAAAACTTAGTAATTGCAGCATTCCAACATTCCATATCCGGTCAATAGGAACAGTGACAGGTGAAAGAAAAACATGGCAGGATTTGTGCGAAATCATTGGGTGTAAGAAGGAAACCAAAAATCCTTTATTAAATATATTTTATATCTTTATCATTTATTGAACAATAACTTAATTAGTGTTGAGGTAATGCTAAATAATCACGTGGTAAAGCCTTTAAAGTGCGATAAATTACACGTTGTATAGCACGAATAGCGATGATTTTTGGGCTCTTCCACGCATAGGAAAAACTATTGTGGCGGACATTGTTATAGTGAGCCAGTAATATATCTTTTGCACACATATGTATGTGTAATTAATATGCTGTAAGTACAACGCGACCCTTTGTTAAAAGATTTGTACTTACTTCACTTTCCTCTAAAGATATCCCCTCTATTTCAGCTTTTATTTTCATATTCTTTGTAGTCACTGAAATTTCAAATTAAAAAAATATTTTACATGTCACATATTTCACTTACAAACTTATTCGATAATGACAGATAACCTCAAACCAAACTTGTTGGCTTGTAAAAATGTTTACAGCCTTAACTGGCCAAAAAAAACATTAGCAGTTAAAACGCTAACGAAATGATATAACATTGAACAATGTTTGTATTGTTTCATCTTTAGATAACTCTGCACTGCAATGCATCATAGGCAGACCAGATGAAACTTTAATGTTTCATTTTATTTTTGTGAACAACACATTGATTTGAGTGCTGTGATGTATAGTACTTCTGTGCACTATATTAGCTATTGTTTTGTGTTTATTTTGTCTAACATTTGGTTCTGTCTGTCCGGCCAACAAAGAAGGGCTGACCAGTTTATAATGTTCATTTGAAATGACCTCTGCTCTTACAGCACCAGCTACCATAGAATGGATCCAATCTTTTTAAGTTCAATTTATTGAATTTAACAAGACACCACATACATAATTCCACAATGTTGCTTCAATTCATTTGTTATTATTATTTTTAAATATTATGTAAATCAGCAAACCATGACTTTACGTTTACTATCTATTGATAGTACGCTTATTTACTAATTTATCATTACAATCAAGACGTGTCAATGATTTGGTCAAGAATTTCAATTTTTTTTAGTGTTAAACTTGTTTTTTGATACTTTGTCTTGCCTTCCCTGTGTGAGCTATAAATCCCTATGACTCTTTGTTCTGTTTTATGTTATTTATATATAATATTTGAATAGTAGTATTAATTGGTTTAGTACTATTGTTCGTTAGCCATTGCCAATCATTTACACTTCCCACCACATTCCCCAAGACACTGACACTGTCTGCATGAAGGCTTGAGCTGAAATGAAAGTGCAATGCACTTATAACAACAATTAGTTTTAATAATCATTGACTCGTACACAATGGATCTCGAAGGTTCCTTTAAGATTTACTCACAAGATGTTTTAACCAAGGCAGGACATATAGAGTTACAGGTTACACCAGTACCAAAACAATCATTTGCCACTGTCTACGGAGAAATGTGAAACTGTAGTTTAAAAAAAATAAATCAATTAATGTTGTTAATTCAGATGCACTAGGCAAAGTCACGGTAATATAACTGATAAAAAAGTAATAAGCAATGCAAGTATCAGTACTTTATGAATAACCGTGTCTTTTCCCAGATTATATTTAAAAATAAATCGACTACTGGGATTTAAAAGTCACCAAGCATTACAAATGCACAGTTCCCATTATATGTCAAATGACAAAGTCCATCATTAAATGTAGCAGAAGTAGTCTTCAGTCAGCTATTTTTGTTCGAATCTTAAAGAAATATGATGTGCACCAATTACATTACCCGAATAGTAACGACAATCGACATCCATGTGCAAGGTATCAATTGTGTCAAATTTGAATGCGAGCAGCCAAAGCCCAAAAATGGCCCTGAAAGTACGCACTAACACACAAACACATGGACGAACGGACGGATGAGTTCCAAATTAATAGTTTCTGTTTTGCCAATATTGTTCAAAACCGGGAATAATGATAAAAAAACGAAAACGACGCGAACAATATGAATTATTTTATGAATAAGTTTGCCACAAATATGGGGTGCACACCTCAGTAATAATTAACACAGTTTTCAGTTGTAGAAGAAAATAATCTTGCATAGGCATGAAAACATTACTTTGTATGTATGGTAATAATAATATGTACATCTCTATAGTTAGCATCTTATGCATTTTTGCCGGGGCGTATACTCACTTTTGTTAATCCGTCGAGACCGTGTTTTGAACAGTTATATGCTACAAAGGTCTTCATCACTTTCTTGCTAAATATAGATGATATATTTATAATACGACCCCACCCTGGTAAACAAACACCGAATACAATAACGTAGCAACACAGGAAAAAAAATTAAATTAGTCTGTAATTAAGAGATGTTTTAACAGTTACAAAACGTGTTACTGTATAAACCTACATATCATTTAAAAGTTTAGATATGGGCGAATACGGTACTGCATATGTCGTAGCATTGTTTGCCCGATGCATTACGTGACGGCCAGAAACGCATAGATTGGCAAAACCGAGTTGTATTATTATGATACAACGATACAATATAACATTACTATTTGAACGCCACCAAAAGCAACTTTTTTGCACTTTTTACAAATAGACATGAACATGTACTTTTTTTCTCATATTATCTTTCAAAAATCATTAACAAATATAATACCAAACCACATACGTTAACAAGTATAATAATAGACTATGTGATGAATGCACCTTTCTTTTTCATGGCACCAACAGTCAGACGTACCAAGTCAAACGGTGCTGTTAAATTGAGCTGGATTATTTCATCCCACTTATCAACTGGAAAGCTCTCTAGTGGAGCATGTACACCGCAGCCTGCAGTAAAATAGATTAATAGTGGTTATATTTCTCAAAATGATTATCACTCAATAGTTACTGAGAAAATGACACATACACTTCGGCTAACTCAAATATCCAATTATAGTTGTTTACTATTTTCATGGGTGAGTCAAAACGATAACACAAATACATAACAAACAAATTTGATGTAATTATCACTGTTGCTATGATTACCAATATATCAATATATGTGGAAAGAAAAAACAAACAGGAATTGTAATGCACATGGTATGAATGCAGCCTTTCAGGCGTATTCATATCATTGATTGGTTGAAGAGTGGAATTTGTTGCAACACCAACCTGCGTTGTTAACGAGAATATCAACTCCATCTGGATATAAAGCCTCGATTTTCTTTTCACACAGATTCTCAATTTCAGATCGCTGAAGTAAATCGGCAGTTAGATAATGACATTTCACGTGGAACTCTCTGGAAACGGAAACAAGATACATATTTATCTTCAATACATTAAATATGGTATCATTAATTAAAGCGGGGGATTCATCGCCTGCGCATGCGTCAGATTAGTAGCGCACTTTAGGAGCGCATGCATATATCTATGGTGAAAATGAGAGGTATTTCAATGTGGGGCCCAGGTGCGCTTCCCGTGAATACACGTGCGTCTGCACACCAAATGTTTTCACTTGCCTAAACCATACCTGTCCTTGGTCCTAACCTAATTAACGCCAAAACGTGAGTAATATTTTTACATCCCCTGAACTTGGTTATTTGAGGGGATAAATGTTTTGCCAATGTATTAAAAGGCATTTGCCATTGATTTAGGTGTAAAAAATGTATCTACAGATACTTGATACTTATTTATTAGTTTACAATATTGCAACATAGTTAATTGAAGGACCAAATGTATCCACATATATTTGAGTGTTATTATAAATGAATACCAGTATTGTGAGAGTTAGTTCTCATATTTACTCATTTCGTATTCAGTGATTAATTATGTGAACAAATATTTGATATATATTCTGGAGTAAATATAATGACTGCCTTCAGTTAGCATAATCAATCATTCAAGTCCCTGCCAATTACTTTCCCTATGGTTATAGTTAGATGTGTGTTAAACTGAACAAGAGTGAATCAGGCTACCCCCGGATTTTTTATTTTTTATTCAGTCCAGCGACAATTTTACCGTACTAAAATAACAAGTATTAAACAAGGTTCTCGTTGTCTGGGAAGGTAGCCGAGTAGTACAATTAATCGGTAGTAACACTTTTACTAGCTGTAATCAGTCGTTAAAATGTTGGCACTGCCAATTACTATCACTATTATCAGATGTTGACGTATATCTAACTATACAAGAGAGGGTAGAGTTTAATTCGCAAAGGCAGCGTGATGGGAATTACAACTAACAGACATCAATATTGAAACACAAGTGAATATTCAATGCAACATTAACATCAGAAGAACAACTTATATTAGATTGACAGGCAGATATTTGACACAATTTTGTTTTACCTCGAAAACAGTCCGGTACGTGGCGACGTTGGGCGCTGAATATGGCTGGTTTTCTTTTTTAAACTTAATTAAAATGCAATCCCTTATACAAATACAATTTAAAAATATTATTTATTAAAATAAAATGTAATCCTATTATTCATTTATTTAGTTAGTTTTGCATATGACTTATTATTATTTCTATACATGCTCTGTTTACTTTGTTATGCTTCGATATGTTTCAGATCATTTGATTCACGTGTTTCATGACAGCTCTCATTGGGCCTCTAACTACTTCAATGTCCCTGTGAGTTGAATGGGAAATTGATTTGGTTCCGGTGAGTGTTCTAGCGTGATTCGAACAATCGGCGTTTATAATCGGCGGTTTTTCTTTTCTCATATTTGCCACGCCGTAATATGCGACCGTTTCATTGTGATTTTGTGAGTCTTGAATGATGTCTTATTTGCGTGTAAAGCCATGACCTAGTTTCAACCATACATGTTCAACCATACAACGAAGTTGTTGGCGTTGACCCAATTGACTATATGATCGTTACGCTCAACATTCTAGGATTTATTACCGTTATTATCATTATATTGTCACGCGAGTTGTTCCTCCATATTGGTAATGTCTTAAATATCTTTAAATTACGAAATTACCATACCTTTGCAACAGTTCTCTGAGAGGTTCAATGTCCGCCTCAGCTCGCCTCCCATGTAGAATAATATCATATCCCTTTCTAGCCAGAATCCTTGCAATCGTATAACCAATACTGTCGCAGGATGTGGATCCAGTGATCAAAGCAACTTTCCCGATGCCCCCTGCATCAGCCATTGTAACGGCTATGAACCTTGACCTGGAGCCACTAGACCGCTGAGGGCAGCATTCGGACTACCACTTTTTTATCTTTTCGGTTAGGTATCTGCTTCCTGTACATTCGTGTAGGATGTCAATAAAAGTCATGACCCCGTCAAGTTCATTGCCACAATCTAACACGGTGCTTGGTAGAGTGTAGTTTAGCAATTATATGCTTACATGACATATTTTTCAGGTTCTAATTCTAGTTCTAATTGAACATGGGAGGTTTAAATAAGTACATATATAAAACACAATTTGTACATTCTCATAATATGATACACACTATCTTAGTAACCGCCTACAATCGGTTACTATTGGTAACAGCTCATTCTCGTTTATGCAATTGCGATATGGGGTTCCACAGGGATCGATTTTTGGCCTAAGATTATTTTTAATTTACATAAACGAAATAAATAAATCTACAAATGCATTTGGTTTTCGGCTGTTTGCCTACGATACCAATTTATTTTAATTCATCACAAATAATGCTATTAACCTCTCCAACATTACCAATGACCTACAGAGAGTATGCGAATGGTGCGGTGCAAACAAGCCCACTATTATTATTCAAAAAAACAATTACAAGATACTAAAAACCTCACTGTAAACATTGAGTATCAACGGACGGACTTCTATTGAGAGCGTTTCGTCGTCTAAATATTTAGGGATATCAATTGATCAAAATATAAATTGGAAAATTCAAATTGAAAACATTGTAAAAATCATTGCCCCTAAAGCTGGAATAATTTCTCGCATACGCCATTATGTTCATAGACCCATACTTTGACTATTATACAATTCATTAATTTCACCCTATCTGACATATTGTCTAGAAATGAGGAAATGTACACATCACAAATCTGAGCCCGATTCTCACAAAAAATAAATTGCTCGATTAATAACTTTCTCAGATTTCCAAGCTCATACCGCACCTACAATGTCAATATTGTAATTTTAAAGTTTGTGAAATGAATCAGATATTTCACATAATGTTTCTAATGGTTTGCATTTGTAAATACTTTAAAATTCCTTCACCACGAATGCATGTATGACATCGTAGATATACGATATACATCCTTTAAACTGTTTTCAGTTTGATGGAAATATCAGGGGGGATCTTCTCCTCTGGGGTCCTCCACACGTGTAAGGGGGAAATCTCGTCTCGGCTCTATATCTCGTCCCCTTGAGGTACGGGATCGGGAAAGTCAATTAAGCTTTACAGTCAAATAAGACACACACAACGAAATACGTTTCAGCTCTCGTCTTAGTCGGTCATTCGAGCACTCTATAAGCCACAGCGCCCTGGGGAAAAGTCCCCAAGACTATCGCAAGGCTGACCCAAGACTCGCCCAAGACTGCGTCAAGACTCGCCCCATGACTCTCCAGGACTGGACTGCATCTGTCCTGGTGTACGCGCCAAGACCAACTAAAACAACTCTTTATTCATTTTCAAAACCTTAACCAATTACAAAGCAGTATTAAGACTCTAAGGCATGGCCTTCACACATTCAGCCAATCACACTCAGTACTGAACACGTCATATCTTTTGATTAATCGTTCACTACATTAGTAATTGCGAATACTAACTGTCAGAAATAGTAGTCCGAATAGCGACGGTTATCTCGTAATTAGTTCCAAATCACTGAACCAAGTTCCGTCCGGAACGTCGTATGGGCCTAAACGATGACAGACATAACACAGCCATTCGCTAATAATCAGCTAATTAAGTCAATTAACAGATAAGCAAAAACAATTTCATCATAGAAATAACAATTCCATACACCTTATGCAGAACTTAAACCAAAATTGGTTTATGGTCGTGGTGCAATGTGTTAACATAAAAGCTGAACAAACAAATGTTTGTCTGATGCATTTTATAATATGTATATGCCGCCACGTATAGTAGAATGAGTGTAATATAATGCGCGTCATTTTTCAAGTGTGTCAACACCAACTGTTAATGACTTTATTTTAATCAGTTCACTATATTCCCACGGACGACACTTTCGAGTCACCCTACTTACAAATGCAAATTCTGGTTGCATTGGCCTCGGTAAAATATTTTCAATCAGCATATATACATGGGGGTACATGTTGTTTGTATCTACACTAATGCATGCAGCCATGTGGCGTAATCCAATGTGTAGTATTCTCATGGTTTCTCATTCACTTAGAACGAATTACAACATTACGTGTCAGTACTATTGATTTTACTGTGTATGTTGTGTTGAACCACATATAAACATGTGTGTTGGAATAGTTTGGATCACATAGATGCATTATGACAAATTTCTTACAAATCACAGTTTATTTCAATTATCATTAGGCCCAGCACTCAGCATTATGATACCAAGCACTCCCCAATTTATTGGGCCAAACACTTAGCATTATTAGATACAGTATTTGGCTTAAATTGTCAGACTTTTCATCAATTAGCCCAATGGCCAGCATCTACCGGTATACTTGCACCAGTCATTTGGTCTGCTGCTGGTGTGCAGAGAAAAGCTGCAAGTTCTGCAATCTGGAATAAATAGAATTACAAGAATGTTGAACAAATCAACCACCGACATTTATATTGTAGACAAGTTCAAATGAAAAATTTGCACAAAACTTGTTACACTAATGACAACATGCGATCCATTTTAAAAAAAGAATGTGATATCCTCTTAGTTGCTATACAAGTAGATTAGGTAAAATTAATGCATTTGTGAGAAATGTTGCGATTAAAATATAGTAGGTACATACCTGTTCAACAGTGACATACTGACCAGAGGGATTTATTGCTTTTAAAAACTTTGCCTGCAACAATGACAATAAAAGAAGTTGGCATTATACATATATCAAAGCGAATATGGGAGATATAGACACAATTTGCTTGAAACATGATATGTTCATAGGACTATCGTCAGCTGTACTACTCTGTTGTAGTATGTCCATCACACAGGCACATTGCAACTGAAGACAACATTATACTTTTCATAAAGCACCTGCGTAGGATGGAAACATGTTCAAATTGTTTTAGTTCTTTTAATCTGTTTGGCTATTATTATAAGACTTGTAAACAATATAACCATATAATAGCAGAATGAAATATACCATGAAACCTCAAGAATGTCGACCACATTTAAAAATGGCATTGAAAACTCTCGGCTGGTCGAGTAAAAATCAGTGATTACAAAAACATTGGGCTGCACACAGTGTGCATCATTTGTTGTCAGAACAGCCCCTAGATTACGACCATTTCGGTCACCATGGTGATTATATTTAATGAATGCAAAACAGTATTTAGGTCGCGGTCGCTACACAATGTAATACTAAGTGACTGACTAATAAGTGTAATGTGACCTCCTATTGATACAAATTACAAAATTCAATTGCACTTACCCGAGTTTCCTCGAAAGACATTCCATTTAATTTAGCTCTTGTTTGCAATCCCTTATTACTCACTAAAAATTAAAAAAAAAATCATATATCACATATTCTTCCTGACGGATACTCCAAACTCCAACTTGGTTTAGTATGTCTATTAAATAAATGCTTTAATGTCTCATCTAGCAAAATTGAATTAATAGACTCGACTGCTGTTGAAAGTAATAGGCCAACCAATCAATCAATTTATCTTTATCAATATTCCGTTTTCAAAACAGTATACATTACAAACTATTTTCTCTTGAGATAAAAGAAGAAATGTAAACACTTTGAGCAACAGCTACAACAATAAATCATCATTAAAAATTATGTAGCTATTTGATTAATATATAATGTTAGTTATATTTCACTTATTTCGCTGATGAATAACAATTTCACTGCATACTGCCCTCCATTTATTTTGTTTTTAACTTGTCACTGAATGCAAATCCCAGGACAGCTTCTCCTTAACAAATCTTTTTTGAAGTGACATTTGGTATTTGCTAAACTTTTACAAGGTTGGTGTTGTTGGCTTGGTACATTTAGACGTGATTGCATTTAGCTTGACTGGTATCCTTTCTATTTTTGTAATTGATGTGGGTGTATTCATACATTCTTGACACTTGGGTGTCATTTCAATATGTACGTGTCTAGTAATCAAGCTCTCATATTTTTTTGATCAGAAGAACACAGTTAATGTGCTGCGTTTTCTTATACTAGGCAAGTCATAGATGGATTCATTTCTGTGTTAAATGCTTTGCTGCCACGGAGTAGTTCCCGTTAGTCTGTATTTTTTCCGACTTAATTTGGGTTATAGGAGTTAAAGAAGTTTTGTTTTAATTTATAAGCCACTCTCATATTGGGTTGATTGAAGCTGTATCAGCTGTTAATGTTGATATAGCATTGACCCACATTTGTAATACACGATACAGACAAACATTTCCTGATTATTCATTAAAGCAACGGAATGTGATATATAAATACTCACTAGATGTGTCAACCATGGCAGGACATATGGAGTTGCAGGTTACACCAGTACCAAAACAATCATTTGCAACTGTCTGTGATGAAATAAATCAGGTAAATCAGTTTAAAAGAAAATCAATAGTAATCAGGTGGTTAGTATGTATGTGATTTTACTTTGGTAATAAAACTGACGAAAAAAAAAACTGAACGAAGAGCAAAAAGACAGCTCCAGAGTATGCATAGCACCAACAATATATATATATATATATATTATGTTACGAACAGTTGATAGACATGGCTATGAAAGAGAACATAGAGGTGCAGTAATTATTAGAAGATTTAAAGAAAATTAATCTAGCACATTCATGTAAACAAGCCAGGCAATGATAGTAACTTTTTCAATCATACAAAACAGGCTCACTACACAGGGACTTGTACATAAACCTGGGAGTATACTTACCTTTGTCAAACCATCAAGACCATGTTTTGAACAGTTATACGCTACACAGGTCTTCATCACTGTCTTACTGTATATTGAAGAAATATTTATAATACGACCCCACCCTGGTAAACAAATATTAAACAAAATAAACAATCGAACACGATGTGATTTCTTAATTATTATTTAATAAATTATTGTGTATTACATACAATTATAATTTATGATTTATTCGCTGAATGGTCAACATTTACAACAGTATGTTGATTCTGTATGAAAACGCATGCCCTACAATTATTTAATTGTTAGTTGACAGAATTCTAAAAAAATGTGTGTTAGAGGCTCAAAATAAAACCTGGGCGTAATAAATTGTTTTATTTTTAATGAAAATAATAGATAAACGGAGTCTACACCAATGCTCTACACACTAACATTTCACAAAAATAAAGTGAAGAAAATTTTATGTATTATAATTTAGGTCAAAATTAAAAAAGAATTTATAAAAAATTATAATTGATTATGTTATAAAATTACCTTTCTTTTTCATTGCACCCACCATCAACCGAACTAAATCAAAAGGCGCCGTTAGATTGAGTTGAATTATGGTATCCCACTTATCAACTGGATAATTCTCTAGTGAAGCATGTGTATTGCAGCCTACAAAGAAATAGATCAATAATAAATAATGTTTACTTTAATTACATTTTTGTCGGTGATTCTTAAGTCAATGGTTGCGTGAAAGTGATACAAATATCAAACAATTGAATTTAATGTAATTATTATCAATATCATGCGCATAATCAGTAAATGTAAAAAAGATAATATATAGCAATTATTACAAGGTGTATTCATATCATTGATTGGTTGAGATGTAAAATTTGTTACAAAACTAACCTGCGTTGTTAACGAGAACATCAACCCCATCTGGATATAAAGCCTCAATTTTCTTTTTACACAGATTCTCAATTTCAGATCGCTGAAGCAAATCAGCAGTTAGATAATGACATTTGACCTTGAACTCTCTAGACAAAAAAACAAGTTACATTTTGTTTATAATACTGCATATAATCTATAATGGCTGTACAAAGTGTGTTGCAGTTTGCTACATGCAGCCAATGTTTGCGTTTTTTCTGGACGGAATTTATCAAGAAGTAAGCTGCTTTTGTTTCAATTATTGATTGGTTGGAGTAGAGATATAAATATTAGTGATTCTATCGCAGTGATCAGTGACTTATTATTTTTGTCAGGGCACCAGTTGTCGGAAAATGTGTTATGTCTTTGACGGCATAGATATGAAGAACAGATGCCTAACCATATGTAGTCTTCACGACTTAAGTATTTTGCACATCCTACTGCCCTACAATTTCTGTTTGCACAAATATTGACATGTAACAGTATATAGATGCTTAGTTTTAACGATTAAATCAGTAGCTGCTGTGTGTTCTAACTAGACAAATCTCGTCTTAGACTCCCCTACTCCATGACCCAAATTTTTCCCTACATTTGTTGGTGCCGAGACCAGGATCTTGAACTGAAACAGAAAGTAAACCAAGACATCATCGATATGACAGAAAGTGACGGCCAAAAAGCAAGCAAGAAACGTAAGGGCAACAGAGGACAGATGACAAAACAGATTCACAAAGCCGAAGAACTCATGCAAAAAGACGAATTCCTGACATCCGATAAAGATTTGATGACTGCAACAATACAAGATATAAGGCAACGTCTGAAGATCATTCAAGAATGAGATGACAAAATACTGGATGAAGCCGGAAACGATGAAGTATACGCCAAAATATTCGAAGCAGCAGATGACTACGGAATCAACATAAACTAAACTTTGGTGCGTTTTCAAAGCTTTCTAAAAAAAATTAACAAACACTGGTAACAGACACACCCACATCACCTGATACTTCGATGACATCAAGAAGAACAAGAACGGTCAACCTACCCAAGTTACAGTTACCAACATTCTGAAATGGACCACGTTCATTGACGCCTTTAGGTCGTCCGTAGATAATGACTCTAGTCTGGAAAACATCAAAAAATTCCAGTACTTGATGACATAACTAAGCGGTGAAGCAGCAAGAACTGTCGAAGGTCTGCAGTTAACCAATGCAAACTACTCAGAAGACACTCTTAGAACAAAGGTATGGTCAACCACATAAGATTATTTCTAGCTACATGAAGGCATTATGATAATTCTTTATCAAGTATGACCAATTTTTACGACTATCTAGAAACCTATATTCGTGGATTGAGATCTCTTGGTAAAAAGGAGGATTCCCATGGCGATCTACTAGTTCCGATTGTTTTCGAGAAGTCGCCTGCAAATACAAGAACTCAGATTTCACGCGAACATGGTAATAAGGCCTGGTCGATAACAGAATTGAAGAAAGCCATACACAGGGAAATCCAAGCTAGACAAGCGGGTAATCCGATAGAACAATTCAATGAGCAACACGCCACTGAAAGATATTCACCCTCTACAACATCTTTTCATGTTGAATACAAGTCAAACAGATCTAACGATTTCAAGCCTAGACCCATCAAATGTGCATACTGCAAAGCCGCCTACTCAGCACATGCTTGTGAAATCATAATTGGACCTGATAAACGTATGGCTATAGTGAAAAAAGACAGATTGTGCTTTAACTGCTTAGGCCACCATAAAGTACATGAGTGCAAGTCTAAATATCGCTGTAAACTCTGTCACGGGAAACATCATTCTACGCTCTACTACAATGCTAAGAAGACACCCGTAAAATCACAAACTTCTGGTATTGAAGACACATACGTCAAACTGACACCAACTACCAGTCCTGTATTACTTAAAACTGTCTCTCCAGTTCAAGTAAGGGGACTTCTGTCAACTTCTAGCAAGTTGATTTCTTCAATAAATCCCCGTGACAATTGGTCAGAAATGATTTCATCATAAGTGTGCAACAGCTCCAATGAAAGGTGTCGCACCATTCATTGATCTAGTGCGTGCTTGACAAATATTAAAATTTGTAGGAAGGGGAGGATGATTTCCCTTCCATGGTAGACTAGCTACATATTTGCCATCCCTGGTGCGGGTCAAATTATTTTCTTTGAACTCTTCAAAATCAGTCTGACGGGAGTGTTCTTTATAAGAAATACTGATGGCTTGTATCCCAATATTGCGAGAAATTAAGTTCATCATTAGTACTGTCTACCATAACCTATAAATACATAGCGTTCATAACTGATTTATTCGCATGACAATTGTTTTTGTGTGAAATAAAATATAGTGTTCAATGAAATACTCGTACAGCTTCTTCACTTCTTTAGTAGTACATATAATAAAACAATCAATTTATCAAACAATCAATTTAGTCACAGAAGGTTGGATATTGTAAATTCCACTGGAGATGCAGAGTGCTAGCAAGGTACTGTAAATGTTGCTGAAGGTGGCGAGTACCAACAAGATACTGTAAATGCCAGTTGAGGTGCAGAGTGCCAGCAAGGTACCATACATTTTGCTGGAGGTGGAGAGTGCCAGCAAGATCCTTAAATGCCAGTTGAGGTGCAGAGTGCCTGCAAGATACTGTAAATGTCAGTTGAGGTGGCGAGTGCTAGCAAGGTATCATAAATGTTGTAGAAGGTCAAGAGTACCGGCAAGATCTATTAAATGACATGGGAGATGGAGAGTGCCAGCAAGATCCCTTAAATGACATGGGAGGTGGAGAGTGCCAGCAAGATACTGTGAATGTCAGTTGAGGTGTCGAGTGCCAGCAAGGTATCATAAATGTTGCAGAAGGTGGAGAGTACCAGCAAGACCCCTTAAATGACATGGGAGGTGGAGAGTGCCAGCAAAATACCTTAAATGTGCTGGAGGTGGCGAGAGCCAGCAAGGTGTCATAAATGTGCTAGCAAGATCCCTTAAATGGCATGGCAGGTGGCGAGTGTCAGCAAGGTACTGTAAATATTGCTGGAGGTGGATAGTGCCACCAGGATCCCTTATATGTCATGGGAGGTGGCAGGTGCCAGCAAGGTACCATAAATGTCGGTGGAGGTGGGCAGTGCCAGCGAGGTACTGTAAATGTCGGTAGTAGCGAGTACCAGCAAGTAGCAAGTTCTAGCAAGTTATCATAAATGTCGCTCGAAGTGGCAAGTGCCAGCAAGCTAGGCCATTTGAAGGGCATGGGGGTGAGTTCACGCAGTGTACTGTAAATGTCTGTAGAATTGGCGAGTGCTAGCAAGTTAATGTAAATGTCGGTGTAGGTGGCGAGTACCACCAAGATACTACAAAAGTCACATTCACAAAATATTGGAGGCAGTTTAAATCTAAATGATATTATTTTCATCTATATTATATTCATTTTTTTAGTTTTATTTGTTGCTAATACAAAATTATGAATATCCAACTATACAATCCCCTGAATCTGCGAAACATGTTATCAGGTTACACCAATTTTTGCTGAAAAGAGTGGAAATAAGTTGGCAACCCAACCATATATATACAAATCAAGATCCAACAAGTTACTTGTCACTATAGTCTTATATATAGGCTATGTGGAGTTCAAGGCCTTTAGTTCTTCAGGGGTCGGCTCGATCTTGAGGTCTTGTGGGTGAGTTGCAAGAACTGACTGAAGAGTGCTGGTTATGTACTAATTTATAGCAGATTTTATGGGTGGGGTTGAAGCCAAAATGAGGCTAAATCAATCAAAACATTTGGTGATTCGATTGGGTCGCGTATAAATAAAAACGCCTTGATTGGTAATGGGGTCACATGATCCGCCAAAATAGGCAATTGTGTAGGCAAATGGTAATTAATCAGGTAATTAATCAAGGCAGGAAGGTACAAACATTAAGTTCATTTTCACACTCCAGCGCCCTTTGTACCAGGCACAGAAAAAACACCATGACCTAGTTACCTGTGATATCTTTCCTGCGACAATATAAAAGAATGTCGGCAGAAACGAACAGGCACTCTCGGATCTTAACAGCTGGGCACAGATCTGGCGTGTTTTATTACACAGTGCGATGTCAGTTGATTGTCACAGTGTAGCCGAAGCTCAATATATCAGAATACCAAATTATCATACCTTTGCAACTGTTCCCTGAGCGGTTCTATTTCCGACTCTGCTCGCCTCCCTTGCAGAATAATATCGTATCCAGTCCTTGCCAGAGACTTGGCAATCGCATAACCAATACCGTCACAGGATGTGGATCCAGTGATCAAAGCAACTTTCCCGATGCCTCCTGCAACAGCCATTGTATCTATGATGTGACCTAGATTATGGATCTGGCCGCTGAGGGAAGCTTCATGAATGACCTTTTACTTTTAGTTGACCAAGGTCAAGTAATGTCATTGACAGAAAACCGGAAGTTACAGTGTCGCAAACCAGGACGGCTGACCCGAGTGTTCGCTAGAGTATCGACCATTCAGTTTCCTAGTTTTGCGCAGTGTCAGGTTTGGTAATGGTGAGAACGAAAGACAAACAGTAAACCGTGATTTGCGTCACAAATGAAGTTAAATATTAATTAAAATCAATTAAATTAGCTCGAAACCTATACAGGAATATCATTTAATTACAGTTTAATTAAAATAGTTCTATTTACAATATATTAATTTCAATGAAATTCAACTTAAGGTAACGAGACACGTAATTATTTACATAACTTTAATGTCAATTTATTTGTCTATTACGTACAATCTTTTTATTATCTCATGATAAAAAAACGTGTGAGTTGTTAATTTACATATGAGAGGACTGCAAATCGTAAGTAGCGAACCGCAAATGCACATCGCGGTTTCGTCGTGGCCTGAAGGAGCTTGCACTTCGACCCCGTCTGTTTACTTTTGAAAAGAACGACCCTATGAACATACCAAATAAATAAATATACCAGGTCATTGGCGTTGACGAGTATTTTCACGTATTTATAATAGCGATCGAACACATACCGGGTTTTGTAACGACATGAAAGTGGACTCGGACAACTCGAGATGTTTCCTTAGTACCACTCTGTTTGACATCAGACCTTTGCTGTTGGGCTGCATACCATTTCGATGTTCTCGTCCGCCAGCAAGATTCTAGTTTAAAGGGAGGTAGTCGTCGCGCGACGCATGCGCCAGATATGAATCTCATATAAACAAAGATGGCGATTTTGTGCACACCAACAAGTACAAACAGACAAGCTTTAATTTGGTATTTTTTTGGTGATTTTAAGGATTTTAAGTAAAGTTCGTACTTGTGATTGCATTATAAAATTGCACTGGATTGTGGGAATATCAATGTTTATCAACACAAATGTCGCACGTGCGCAGCGCGACGACTAACGTTTAATAATTTACTTGATTAACATAGTGCTCAGTCAAAAAAAATAACTATATTATACATTCATGGGTACTAAGATATTATGTGCTACTTTAGACATACCGCCACGGATATTCATCACATGTACACCCAATATTTTATACGAGAATCTCGTGGGGCACCAAAACTGGGTAGAGGGGTACCAAAGTCAGTTTTTAAACCAATGTTTATATATCAATAAAGACAAGATAACACTTTGTTACTTGATTTAAACCCAGTACGCATGCACAAGACCAGTTGATAGTTATTAATGTGGTTGCGCCTCTAATTTACTGTGTATATCTGCCTGGGCTACGTGTAAGGCCTCATGGGGAGTAATCGGAACAATTTAACGATATTTAAACGGAATTCGGGTGGGGATTCAGGTCTTGTATATAGATCAGTGTTTATTCAAAAAGGGTACCCTGTACAGCTCGAATATAACATATGTACACACTGAATTTATACCTATTTTAACGGAAAATAGGACCCCTATTACACCTACAATCTTGAAAAACGTAACCCATTTCAATGGCACGTCAAAAATAGATAATTTCTACACAGTGCCCCCTGGGACGAAAACGTGGTTGTGGTTGTGCTTGTTCGAATGATTTTTTTTTCGAACATAGAATACAGTTGACCCAGTCACAATTAAACTATGAATGAGTTGTAAGTTTTGTATAATACTTGACTGTATACACAGAATACATTCGGGTCCACCGCTTTTGCTATATTATCATTAGGGAAGTGATTGAAGCCCACACAAAAACAAATGCCGTCACCGCCATACCATGGGCTTTCTGTTACCTAAGACTATGTTTTTATCTAGTTTGGGTTTTGAACATTCATTCATTGTATTGATTTCATTTTTAAAAGTTCTACAGTCAAATAAATATGGTTGGACAGTTTTATTGATTAAAAATGTTTTTAACTATGCTTTGATGTTATGGCCTTCTAAAAACAATTTCGAAAGACAATATTTAACATTGTTAACGATGAAGACAACCCCAAATAGATGCCAAAGTGTTCAACATGAAAATACCTTCCTCTGACCTATTGTATAATAATTTATACGTACAATTTGAAAACAAACTACAATTTGTATAACAATTTTACATCAGAATGTTATATTATAAATTATCGGGATATCCAATAGCTACGATATGATAGTGTTGTATTTCAACCTTACATAACCGTTCGATTCTTTGTGTGCCAATGTACATACTATGGTACCCTGACCTGTGCTAATATTAATACTTATATTCTGAGAACCAATTTGTTACGAGAATATAGCAATTACCTTTATTTTGATGTATTACATGACCGAATAGGGGTATTGTTTGCCAATGTGCTGCCAGTCCTAGGTGTCTATTATTTTTTTTAGCAAGAACGCACATGGTGTAAGGCTTTCATATAGAGTTACCCCCGGGATACAGAGACACAACGTTGCTTGGTTGAATACTAGAATGGGAAGTGACTTTAATTACATTGATATTGTGAACAAATTCACAGGAAGTACATGGTTAGTACATTTATGACTATAACTATTGATATATCACATATCATGGTATTCAAGGCTTTGTGTGTATGATAATGTTTAGATAAGCAGAGTGCTTAACTACATTACACCCATTATTAAGCTTGTTAGACATTTTTGTTGTTAGTCAAAAAACTATAGACAATATAGACAAATACAATAAACCAAACATCAGAAAAGTGATTTAGTAGTTTAAGACTGAATGATCCAAACTGAAAACAAATCTTTTGTAAATCACATATTATGATGTCACTTAGACCAAGCTTAAATTACGCAATAACTGAATTACGAGAGCAATCTTGGCCATGTTTTTTTGTTGCAGAAAAAGTGATGTTTATGTGCATCTGAAAGTATGTCTCGTATCTCTTGGGACAAGTATTGCAAGCTTCACATTGTGCTGAGTCAGAAAGTAAATAAAAAAAAAAACCGAGTGCTTATGTCATACATTGTTTTTGTGTCACAATGTATGTTTCAACTGAATGTATCCAAGCAATTTCTTGACCCCATCATCTCTTCAAATAACATCACTGCGACCAACTTCCGGCATCCAAGGGTATACTTGCACCAGTAATTTGGTCTGCTGCTGGTGTGCAAAGAAAAGCTGCCACATCTGCAACCTGAAATGAATTAAAATACAAGAAATAATGAACAAATCAACTACCGAAGACTATGTCTGTAAAATAGTATAATTAATTATTTTCCACAGAATATGTTAAATTAAAAAACCTCATACCTGTTCAACAGTGACATACTGACCAGATGGATTTCTTGCTTTTAAATATACTGCCTGCAAACATGTCAATAAAAAGGAGTGTGCAATATATATTTAAATGTGCATAACAATAATACTAGTTATATTCATCAAACCTTTCTGTAACATGAAAAACTGAGTAGACAGTTTGTCAGCTGTTGATGGTACACTTCAACCCATAACTCAATACTTTACACATACGCATTTTGTTATTCGTCATATCTATTTTTCAATCTGTAATTACACAGTATGCAGGTGCACAATGAATAAGTGTCACTACGTGCCGACCAAGAAAGCGGTGGAGGAAAGTATAAAGTTTATTGGTCGAAATGCTTTCGAGAGTTAAATACAATATGAACAACAATCGTATATTTCGTAAATAATGCAGCACACAACCCAGGAAAGTCAGAGGGCCTAGTCAATTCAAGAATGAATGGATGGATGGATGGATATATGGATGGAAGATTGGTGGCAATGGGTCTGGGAACTATAAGAATTCAATACACCAAGTAACTAGAAAGTCTGTAATTGCATTAACATGAGATGGTCATAGCAGTTATAATTAGCAGTGTTGCATGTTGCTGTACAAAAGGATATATAATATATGCTTCAATAAATATCTGAATTTTTACATTTAATTGGAGTACTTGTAAAAAAATGCTTACTAACACTTGTGTTTGACTACCAAATTAACCGGCTGGTCAACAACTATTCAAACTAGTAAAAACAATTAAACTTTGAGGGATGCAGAGAAGAAACAATCGTTGAATGACAATTACTAACGATATTTCATACCTCAAGTTGAAAATGTCACGTAAATTTCATCTGTGATCACTAAGAAATCCAAAACTCAATTTAGCCTGCAAACGGTGGTAATTGCAGCAAAATTAACACCAAAGACTCTGACTGCAAAATTGCCATTCTATTGTAAACTCTGTAATACTGAAGATGTATTTCGGCAGTACACTATTCTGATTGGTTAATTCGCATTCTTGACATATCTATTCAAATATGACGATGACCGATGTTTTAGAAATTCTCTCACGATAACATGAATTATACGTACATATATTTCACAGAAAACCAAACAATTAAGCTTGTATGTACCAAACGATGATTTAATAATAAGCAATGATGTTAGAAGCTCGAAAAGTGTTTTACATTTTGTGAAAGTCGATGGTCTACATGTATTAATTTTTACACCATCGATAGCACTGCATACCATCTCTCAACAGTGGCTGTGTTCTCATCAATTATGGCTTAAATTAGTGTCCAACTCTAGTGGAGACTAACATTTTTAAGTTGTTGTGGTACACATAAAACAGCATGAATATTGGCGAGTTTTGGTCATCTCGTGCACAGGTGAATTTAGAATATTAGGTTAGTAATAACCTTGTGCCCGCCCGTGCAATTAATATGCTGTAAATGCAATGCAAACTCAATCAATTGCAATTGAATTATACTTACTTCACTTTCTTCAAAGGACATTCCATCTAGCTCAGCTCTTGTTTGTATACTCGTTGTAATCACTAACAATCAGAAATAAATACATTATGTGTGATATATTTTTCACCGACATTCAAACTTATGTGGAATGCATTGTTCCATTCAATTAATTAGTGATGTAGTAACAATTAAAAAACCTAGTGAACAAACATGCAAACGGCATGAATCTGCTAGTAAATATTCCTTATGCTACAGTTTATATCGTCACTTCCAAGTCACTGGCACTATTTGTTAGTAAGTTATTGAATAATATTAGAATAATGAGTTATATAATTTGTTGCTATCCTTTGTCCAGATAATTTTACCGGGGCTACCGTGTGGTGCACTGCATGATGGGGTCCCACAAACATTTTTCAAATTCTTGACCAAGTCAGATTTGGAGCTACATGAGTACTGAGCTTTCATTGTGCACTGATAGACTATGCTAGACACTTAGAAATGTAAAGGATTTATGTTCTCAGGAAGATGTCATTCAACATTTAATGGCAGATAATGATATGTTGTTTGGTATAAAAATACATCAACACAACTAACATGGTCACATCAACATAACTAGAACCAACAGTTTACTTTCGAGTGACTTATATAATTAACTGAGAAATCTAATGCTTTCGGGAAGCCATTTCAGCAGAAAGGTGCCTTTGAGCTATTATTACTGTAATTGTAAAGCTTTCAGGGCCATTTTTACAGGTTTTGCATAAATCAAATGCATTGTTTGAGATAGGGAAGACATAAATAGTTAGAATCATTCATTACCTCAACGCAATTATGGTGGTAGGTGCGTTTGATAGATAGCGTGGATGTGACACATCATAAATTAAAGGCCAGTACATAAGGTGCCAATACACGTTTCATATTTGGAACTGAACTCATTGAAGCAAGATCTGACTAGTTTAGTTATCTGTCAGCCACATACCACATGAATGTACAAGCACTGGGATCATTTCATATGTGGTCTATAAATTAACCAACGCAAAAATAACTATAATGGCCAACTATAATTTGCATCTTCATAGTGAGAAGCATACTAGGCTGAGTGCCTGAAGGGGTTATGGGTCGAGCATTGACTATGGCACAAACTTCGACCATTAATGAAGAGAGTAAATCGTGCATTATGGTTTGCCAAGTTAGACGTACATGAAGTTAAGAACTTGTCTGACTGCACCGATCTGTCTCTTCCAAATGCCTCTGAAATGCGAGGCATGAGATAGGTTGAACACCCATTCACATTGACATTCTGTTAGAAACCTTTGCACTTGATTCTGGTCAAGTTCTTTGAGTGCTGCTTTTATTTTGTTCTTCACTCCAATGAAGTTGGTCCCTGATCCCGGCTCAGTCTCTTAACAGGGCCATGAATAACTATGGAGCGATGCAGTGCGTTGATGGAGGCAGATGTACCCATTGAGTCTATGATTTCAATGTGTATGGCAGTTGTATAGAGGCATACAAAAATCACATCCCATTGTTTGGCTCATGGTGAACCACCTCTAGTTCTCCTGTTCACTACACTCCGGGAGTCGAAGACATCTATCCTCACATTTGTGAATAGTGGGGTATTTTCAGCTCCATTGCATCAGACACTTTGCTCTAATTTTTCTGCATGTTGCACATTGATGTAGGATGGAGCTTACTAAGTCATGTAGGCTAAGAATCCAGAAACCTTTAGCTATGATTGTTGCATGTGTGAGTTGACGGCCTTGGTGTTCAGTCTCTTGATGAACATGTTCAGTGATAAGTCGAGAGTTGTGGCTGTTTTTGGCAGTAGTATTGGATGGCGGCCACAGAAATCAAGATCAGTTTCCCGAAGTCTGCCTCCAACTCGGATGAGTCCATCCTCATCCAGGAATGTCGATATAGTGGGCTCCCTATTTTGCTACTTTTACCACCATCATCTGCTGTGTCTAGAGTCATCAGTATCTTGAGTTTATCTGGGAATGGCTCTTATTGTACTGTACGGAAGATAATGATCTCTGCACATGTAGAGGTGACAATCTTAGTTGGAAGTTTACTATTGTAATTCTTGGTTATAAGGGTTGCTACTGCTCTCTAAAGAGCAGTCCAGGCTGAGAATCAGCAGAATAACTTAGACCCTAGGCCATTATCGTTAGGGTTGTGCTGTTTGACGGATGTGGTTAAGATGCGTGATTGTTTTCAAACTTCAGGGTCTTCTTTTATTGTAATGGGCACTTTCTATTTCGTGTCCAGACGTGGAGTCAGATTCTCAGAGGAAGGGTGGACATGTAAGCCATACAGTAAACATAAGCTGCTGTGCTGAAACAGATCTTATTGCGAGATCAGCAGGATTTTGTGCTGTCACTGCATCAGGTTGAGTTTTTAAACTAACATCTATGTAGATTTCATTGTGTGTGAAATTTTTCACAGCTTCATCATAGACGGATTGGTTTTCTGTAGTAATATTCTGTCTTAGGCCTAACCAGAAGAAGCGAAGATAATCAGTGTTCCTTATTGACATGAAAGCTGTGAAACATCGGTTCAACATCACCTATTGTACCTACTGGCTTGCGACAGAATCACAGTATGACACCAAGGAGGCTATTCATCTGACCAGGTCTCTGAAGTAGTGCATCAGTCGGAGAGACAATGTTAAATCTAGCGCTTGAGTCGAATATTTCTGACATTGAGATTTCCTAGGATGGTAAACGCCAAAATGTGACAAGTATCAAGAATTTTTGGCATCCAATTCTGACACTGGGACTGGACTAGCGTGTTTACGATTGATTACTTTTCCCATGAACTGTAGGTACTGTCTGGAGATTGCAATTGATTGCACGTTCAGGGTGACTTAGTCTCTAATATGCCTGTGGTGATCACATTTGAGTGTTCTGTCTGCTGTGTGCGCGTCAAGGTAGTTCACTGTTGCTGTTGTATGGTGTACCAAAGCTCTGATCACGCACCTTACAGTTTTCATACACAGTTCACCAGATACCAACCACCCTAGGTCGGTGTGTTGAGCCCATGGTGGGTTGGTCGGCCAATTTTCTGGTCTTTCTGACTTTCAGTGGTTGTGGACAGTTCTTGTCAACGAGGAGATGTATATCAATGTGTTCTCTAAATTCAGGAATTGTATAGGTTTCAGATGATCAAATTTATTACATATTTCTGGTAAAGGTATCTCGTTTTTCAAGCAGGACTGGAAGTATGAATTTCTTCTTGCCATCGATGGATCATGTGTGGTCAACATGTCTTCCAGTTCTGCGTTCGCCCTTGGCGCTGCACATTGACAGTTCATACTCAAGTGTTGCAAATTGGATCCTGTATCTTTAACATATTAAACAGACAGGTGCCCCCATACATGCGTTGGGCTGATCATCGTGTACGATATACGATTCTATGATGTTTGTTTGTTTGTTTGTTTTGATTAATTTTGCCATCGGTGGTATACCAAACCAGTCTACCATGCAAGTACTAACCACGCCCGATGCAGCTTAACTTCAGTGATTGGACGAGAACTAGTGTATACTGCAATAATATGGCAGTAGGCTGAATATTCGTTGGTAATTGGATGCCATTTAATGCATCGGCTCGGCAAAACATACCGGGAAAAGGTAGTATCCCTCTATTCCCAAGTTTGTAGTTTGTTTGTACCATAAGACTATTGAAACTTTTTGGGCTAATAACCAGAGGCCAGACGACCAGGCCTCCCTTGTTCGATAATACCGTGTTTGATTCCGCCTGATGCATTTCCCCATGCTTGGCTGGTTGTAAATTTTTCAATTCTATTTGGTCGAAAACTTTGATTTTGTCTGAGGGTTATCAGGCATGCAGATCAAGTTCACGCTGGGTATCTCGAGGTCAAATTATCAGATCAAAGGTAGCAGCAGGTTATATAACCATTCATTTGAATAACAATGAATATTAATAGTAATTACTAACAAATAGTGTAAGTGGCAGGCAGTGACTAAGAGGCTACCAGCTATTTGAACCGAACCCCTCTAGTCTATATCGTTCATGTATATATATGCACTCACTGGCTGTTCTAACCAAGGCAGGACATATAGAATTACAGGTTACACCAGTACCAAAACAATCATTTGCCACTGTCTGCGATAAAATGTATTTGTACAGGTTGAAATTGTAGTTTAAAAAGAAAGAGAGTTAATAATGTTAGTTCTGATGAATATGATGTACCACGATACCGTATTATAACTGATGGAAAAGTGAAAAACAATGCAGGTACCACTAATCGTCGTTTAGCATTTAAAATCACTGAAAAACAAAATACAAATCCATAATGCACACGACACAAACAATAGAGATTATCATACGAATAGGTTTTTATGCATGGACCATAAATAAAGTAATGATTTGCACAACTTTATGTTGTAAAAAGAAATATATTTTTTCCTACTAGTCTGACAGTATTATTTACTCCTTCGTTGATGATCTTTATGTGGTCAGAATTAAAATCTGGTCTGCACATATACCTGTGGGCATACTTACTTTTGTCAACCCATCAAGACCATGTTTTGAACAGATATATGCTACATCAGTGTTTCGCACTTTTTTACTGTATACAGATGATATATTTATAATACGACCCCATCCTGGTGAACAACAATTGCACAAATTAATCATTTAAGGTAGAGATGCAGTTTACCTGACAGGTATTTTAATTAGTTAATTAGGAAACCAAGATGACCTCCCTTGTCCACAAAACTATATATTTTCGGAAAGCTTATTGTATGAATTTTAAAATTTTGTTAGTATTCTTTTAAAGGACACTGTAGTTTCAAATATGCACAGAAATGTGCTTTTTGGTCAAAAGTGATTTAAAAAAATAGCTTCTAAACAATGCTTCTGTTTTCTGTCAAAATTGGTTTATGGGTAAATATATTTACTATGAAGAAAGTGCCGTCTTGAAAACTGTCTACCAGTTGTCAATTTTGCAGGGCGGCAGCTCAAATTTCACTACTTCAAGTTTATGCATAATTAACACCAAGACTAGTTATCTGTACGATTGGTGTAACACTGTTCAACCAAAAAAACAATGCCCCGACGACGTTTTGAAGATAAACACATTGTCAATCATTTGTGAAAATTTCAAAACAAAAGGTCAAAGCGTCTAGGAGCTATTTTTTTAAAGTTCTGGAATGTGCACTAAAAAGAAGCTGAAATAATTGCTAACTTGCATAACAATTCACTTAGTAAGACGTTTGCTAATGCTCATAATTAACATGGCTGTAACAATTCCAAATTTAAATGTATTATCGTTTTGTTAAAAGTTAAATATAGTGCATAAAATGGAGATCCCGTCATTTCTTTTTTTCACCATGTTTCTTTTTTATTATTTATGTATAGTCTTGCTAAATCTTGCTAAGCATTCAAAATAGGGAATGTTTGCATCTGTTATCTATATTTTAAAATCGTTTTTTTAGTATGTTCCACTATTAACAATTCGACAAAATTTTAACAGTCTATAGCCAAGACTGTTTGGATAATAAAAAGCAAAACACAAATTCACTTCCAAGTGCCCACGAACCTGCACCTTAATTAAACAATGACAGCGTGATTTCGCAAATACACATATTTTTAGAAAAAAACAACTGCCAATCAAACATTTACAAGTATACAGTTTGGGTCAAAGTTCACAAATTATTAAATTATAATAGACTATACACCTTTCTTTTTCATGGCTCCAACAGTCAGACGTATGAAGTCAAACGGTGCTGTTAAATTCACTTTGATTATTTCATCCCACCCATCAACTGGAAAACTTTCTAGTGGAGCACGTACATTACGACCTGAATGAAATAATAGAACAATAATACTTATGATATTCAAAATAATTGTTACTGAATAGTTACTAAGACACGTGTAAAGACGTCTGGGCTTTGATCATAATATTTTTTTTTAACAATAATAACTATTTTCCGGATATACGCAGAAGGTAGAAACAAATATCAAACAATTTAATTTAATGTAATTAAATTAATATTAATATTATGAAATTAATTACAAAACTAACCTGCGTTATTAACAAGTACATCAACTCCATTTGGATATAAAGCCGCAATTTTATTGTGACAGAGAATTTCAATTTCAGATCGCTGAAGTAAATCGGCAGTTAGATAATGACATTTCACCTTGAATTCCCTGCAAATAGAAAAGATATTTCCAAAACGACTATTACGGTATCGCAGTACAAAAAGACCTATAATCCCATTGCATTTATAGTTTTGGGGAAGATACTAACCACGAAGTGACTACACTATATTTGCTCTTTCAAGAGAACTTAGGTAAATGACATAGTTGCATCTGTGGTCAAGTAAGTTGTTTTTTTAATTTTCCAGAATACGATATATACAATTCTTGGCTCATATGCTTTTAATACATGTATGTGATTAAATGGATATGACTGAATTTCTTTGCAGATTCGACGACTTGAGGGCTTCAAGAGATACGTAAAATTGGCACTGCTACAGAATGTCCTGACTGCCCCTGACTAAATATGTTTTCTAAAATTTGTCTCTATCATACATATCCTTCGTTACTCCAAGGATATGACCATTGAAATCTCGGAGGAGGGTTAAGGCAGTAAGATCATAAAGTGTTACGAAATCACGTAACATCGTTCCCAATAATGTGGGAGCCAGGTTCAGAGTAATCATGTTCCGGAAACTTGTAAATTCGTTAACTGTGTAGTCAATGGGACAGTGGAGTGTGAATTGGTTGGTATACGCGTACAATGTAGTCGCCTGTGGTGGTCAATGTAACAACACTAAAGTATGAACAATGCGTGTGCATTTTGTGCTATACACGCACAATTTAGTCATATGTGGTCTCTTTGGTGGTTTGTGGTGATATACACATACAATGTAGCCACCTCGATATCTCAGGGTGGTTTGTGGTAGTCAATGTAACAACACTAAACTATGAACAAGGTGTGTACATTGGGTGCTGTACACACACAATATAGTCTCTTGTGGTGGTCAATGTAACAATATTGAATTATGAACAATATGTGTACATTGGGTCCTGTACACACACAATGTAGTCGCCTGTAGTCTCCTAAGGTGGTCTGTAAAGATCAATGTACGTTATTATATTCAATTGTATCCAGTTTGTGCACATTTCGTGTTGTGTATGCTCGTGGAGTCGTCTGTGGTGTCTGATCTACGTTTTTATATTTTGCCAGCACGATTTCGATTTTCGATCTGCTATTTAAAAATTGCGATTTATCAAAATCTTCAAAACAAGAAACCTTAATTGCGTAGCTTAAAAAAATAATATTGGAGTTAATTTGATCGGCATATTCTTTAAACTACCGCATATCACTTACCATAATTTTAAAGGCAAGACCCGTCAAATTACATTTAAGTGAATTTAAGCGACTATTACTTCGAGGACGTACTAGTGAAGCGATGGTCAAATACATGAACCACGACAGGTGAAGATAGGCATCCCTGGTTAGACGGCCGATATCTTCATTCCTATTTCTCTAAACACTTCATGAGGTAAATTCAATATACGCACATTGTTCATAATTCAGTGTTGATACATTGTCCATCACAGATTATGCACATGCATACCATCCCTTAAAGATACATTTGGTATGGTTCAATACACACCGCTCCGAGATACTACAGGTGACTGTATTGTACGTGTATATACAATATGTCTAACTGACTACACAGTTGACAAGTAGGTGCTGCAATTCAGTTGTCAATATAATGAGTTTATGTCGATGCTTCCAAGGCTTTCGATATAGAAAAAGTTGGACGTTATTCAAAATACCTGTGCATCGGACCCCCCCCCCCCCATTCGTTACCCGACTGTTAGGTAACTGGTATCAATACCAACATTACTGTGTTAAATGGGGAAACGGCCTGTTTAAGTTCTTTGAGGTTACTAATGGAGTTCGTCAATTGATGGTATTATGTCTCCGGCTCTGTTCAATCTTTATGTAGATGACTTAGGTTGTGAATTAAAGGCTTGTATGTGGTTGTCAGGTTGGTACCATACCTGTTAATCATTTAAGCTATGCAGACGACATGTACCTTATTGCCTGTCACTGGCACGGGCCGGAAACAATTTGGCAATGTTTGGTCTAGCTATCGTTCCCACATTACAGTTCATGTACAAGACGTATGGTAGTATATATTTTATTATATTCGTCACCATCGGAAATATATCTTACAATAATCGCCTACAGCGTCAAGTGGGAATAATTATAATAGTTATATTAATTATGCCCGGATTATAAATTTAAAGAAAGCATACAGTACTGTTAATATTTAAATCAGTTTGTATGTAAACAAAATAAACTTTAAATAATGTACAAGTGTCCCAACTATCTTGATTTCAAGAATGACAGTGACTAAGCACGGATTGAGGATACGACGACATTCAAACTTAGTTGATTCCGGTACATGATATAACAGGCTAAAATCCATCAATATCGTCAGATTCCGGTAGATACTGTTGAAACAACGTTCGTCAGATGTCTAGTTCGAATAGGCTCGAATTTGGTAGTACGGTTCTAAGCTTGGCTCGTCTCTCAGTTTGCACACGGACGACTGAAAGCCCGTCCTGCTAGTGCGGCGTCCTGAGTCACAGTGACGTGTCCTCCGACCACACCACGCAAACACAACAAAGGAATTTTGAATAAATTAAATATAACATACACCTGTTTCTGCATTCACAACATGCACCTGTATACCAATCTAATTTCAAGACGGA